AGCCTTTGGGAAAAAAAATACCTTTAATACCTTTAAGAACTAATCTGCTTGTACAATTATTAGGTATTTCCATATAGAAAAGTATAACAAAAAGCCCATCAGATTAGACCAATAAGACTGAGGTTGAATTTCTGCCTGTTCACTGACAAATTATAAGACCTTGATAGTCACTCAACTCTTTTAAGTCTTGTTGACAATGAAGTGGAAATACATCCTAGTTTCCTTGGAAAGACTATTTCTGTAATACATGAGATGGTCTCAAGCTTATTCATTGTCATGCACTGACAAATGAATTGAAGGAAACTGATACATTATCAAAGGGGAGAGGGAGTAATGGCAGAGAGCGAAATTTGGGGGGAAGAGCGGTCCAGGCAGAGGAACAGCAAGTGCAAGAGTCCTGAGGTGGGAACAAGGTTGGCACGCAGGGAGGCTAGCATGGCTGTGGCTGGCGAACGACAGGGAGAGTGATAAGAAATGGAGTCAGACAGGGGCTACTCAAAATGCTGTATCAGTGATTCAGAACAAACAAGACAGCCCTGAACCACAGCGTATATGGAGTCACCTAAAAATAGTTGGACAGTGTTAGGATAATAAAAATATAATAAGTTCTGGGCTTTATTTTGTGAAAATCAATCACACAAGGAAACGATGAAGGAGATATATGCTATCAGCAGTTTATGTGAAAAAGATCTCAAGGCCTTGGTAGATCCACAAGCTCTGTGAGAGCTCATATGAAGTGATGGCTTTAACAGACACACGGACCCACACTTAGCACCAACTTAGACTAAAGTAACAGAAGTATACCCAAATTAAATAACAGAATGAACTAATATTCATTTTACATACAATATTTAAAGTATAACATTTGATTTGGTATGATAAATTTTAAGAGAGCTATTGATTTAAAATGTTTCCCATTATTCGATGACAAAGATGCTGAGAAAAATAAAAATACCCACTCATATATCTTTTTTCGGCTTCTCATCTCGTCTGTTCTGAGCTCTGCTTATTCATGTATTTATGTATTTATGTATGTATGTATGTACTTACTCTACACCCAACGTGGGACTCGAACTCACAACCCTGAGATCAAGAGTTGTATGCTCCACCAACTGAGCCAGCCAGCTGCCCCATGAGCTCTGCTCATTTAAAAAAACTCTTAGTTCTGAAGTGAGGAATGATCCCATCTGGACACAGTGGTTTTATCAACCGGGAGGTTGAGACTGCTCTTTTGGGCTCTGCATGCCACTGAGCCAAGAAGAAAGACGTAGGTTATTATCCTGGTTCTGGCTATTGATTGTAGCTCTCAAGCGGGGAAATCAGACTGGTGAGCACAGGGAGGACAGGAAGGCGTATGACTGGAATCCAGGGAACTCTACCTACTAACAGTTCCATAGCCAGTGATGAAAGCTAGCGTGCAGTCACAGCGCTCATAAAGACCGCTGACGTCTCACACCCTTTAGGGATGAAGATTTGGTGCACGCCGTCAGGGAGGGGACCCTACACAACCAATGTTAGCTGGCCGAGGCCAGGGGGAACGTGGAAGGAGAGTGACATTGCAGCCTGTGACAAATTACAGAAACAAAGACTAGAGCAGCCATGTAGGTTTCTTTTGTTTTGTATGTATTTGTGTATATTCACCAATTACTGATTTTCCCTCTCTCTCTTCCTATAGTATATAAGAAGTGTTGGTGATGGTTGCCTTTATTCTTAGAAATTTTAGGCAGAAGATAGATTAAAATCACCTGGAGACAGGGATCATGAGTGATGAGATCCTGTGCCTCCTTTTTTGAAAGAGTGACAGCATCTTCAATTAGTTAAGGAATATTTGTGCGATATCGTTATTGTTACTGGAAGTGTGAACATAAGGTGGAAAGGTGAGAATAAATGCTGAATAGCCAAAGGGCAGGATTTGTCTGTTCTTGCCCTTCTGTGCTTTCCTTTGTAGTTTAGAGAAAACTGCATCTCCTGGATGCCCCTGACAGCTGGCTCCTCACTATGGAATGTAGAAGAACGGGAAAAGCCTTTTCTTTCTCTGCTACTTGTTGCGCCCCTGGCAGCAACGTAGGGGCTGCACAGGTGGTGGTCCGGTCCACGGTCCTGCTTTCCTCCGTGGCAGCACCGTTCCAGAAGCATCAGCAGCAAGCTCTCTGCAGCCTCAGCAGAACAGTGGTCATGGGCTCTTAGTTACACCTTGTCTCTTTTTTCTCCTCCATCCAGAACCGTGAGAATGGCTTCCTGTAGTTATTAGTCTCTGGATAATTTCACATTTTCCTTTTTTTTTTTTTTTCTCTTCTAGCCTTTCCAACCTTTTGATAAGCAATTCCCAATAAAAATTCCATCTGTTCAAAATAACTAGTAGGGGTTCTATTTCTCCATAAGGACAGACATTGATACAGATGAACCCATGGCTCAACCTATGCAAAGAGAAACATGGAATAGATGGGGAGGAAAAGGATGGTCCATTGACAGGCCAGGAAAAACTGGAGAGATCAGATAATAGGATGTCGTTATCAAGTGCAGGATAATATCCTACGATTTCTGAGGTGTAGCAGCTGCAGGTAAGAATGGGGTCCAGAGTGTGCCTTGGAAATAGTGGCTGAAGAAGAGTGGAGGTGTCGTTTCAGTGGGATTGATGAGATCATTTAACTGTGATGCAGGGACGCTACTTGGTTCACTCAAATGGCCATTGACACAAGGCCCAATGATGCTGGGATATGAGATAGGGAGAGAGATGAAGACATGCCAGACTATGTCTTATAAAATATGGTAATAATTTTTTTATTAGAGAAATACCTTTTATTTATTTATTTGTTTATTTCAGAGAGAGAGAGTGTGAGTGGAGGGAGGGGCAGAGAGAGAGGGGGAGAGAAATCCTCAAGCAGGCCCCCTGCTGAGCACAGAGCCAGACATGGGGCCCGATCCCAGGACCCTGAGATCATGACCTGATCAAGAGCTGGAGGCTTAACTGAAGAAGCCCCCCCAGGCACCCCTAGAGAAATACCTTTTCATAGCCAAGACAGGCTACCAGTAATCACATGAATTATTTCCCCCTCTTCAAACTGCTGGACAAATGCGTAATGAAAATGTCACAGATTGCTCTGCCTTCTGTCTCAAGCAATAGCCTTAGAGCTGCGGGCAGTGACTTAATATGAACATGCACACTTGGCTTTGTAAGCATACTGGAATCTTACATTTTCCTCCAGGTGCATAAAATAGAAATAATAAAGGTCACAGATTAATATTTGCCTTTGGCTGAAGTCACTGCCGCTCTTTAAAAAAAAAAAAACCCGTGCTACAAACATAAAATAAAAAGAAATATCACAAGATCCAATGTTTAATGGTCCAGCAAGTGCACTATAATTAGCCGATACACTTCCAGGATGACATGAAATTATCTTTAGTGAATAATGGGATTAAGAAGAAGAGTACCAGAAGTTATGCATGCTTCTCCCAAATGTGCTGTGGGAATGACTTCATCTTACACTATATTTATGTATTAGATTCCTTAACATCTCTCTCTCTCTCTCTCTTTTTTTTTTTTTTTTAGAGAGAGAGAGAGTGCAGGTGCATGAGAAGGGGGGAGGAGCAAAGAGAGAGGGAGAGAGAAAATCTCAAGCAGGCTCCACGCCCAGCACAGAGCCTGATGCAGGGCTCCATCTCACCACCACCCTGACATCAAGACCTGAGCCAAAATCAAGAGTCAGACGCTTAACTGCCTGAACCACCCAGGCGCCCCTCCTTAACCTCTCTTTTGCCGACATCTTTGCGGTGATGGTACAGTGGTATTACCTGGAGTTTCTCTTCCGGGGAACACAAAAATAGCAGCAACACATTCATTGGGTATCAAGAGAACAAAATTGGTGGCAGTGTTATGCTCTTAAGAAGCCAGCACTAGTTTATCTTTTAGCTGGATTTGCCTGGGAAGTGTTTTTACCATATTTACACCCTCTGTAACTTATGCCCACAAAACCGTCCCTCCAGATAGAACTCATTAGAATTGGTATTTTACCCTGGAGTCCACTTTGCTATTTCCCTTTATAATTAATGTATCGGGGGCCCCATTAGCATTGTTACATAGGCTCCAACTCTACCAGCTGGAGAAAAACACTGTATTTAGTCACATGTTCTCTGCACTAAGTTTTGTTTTCAACTGGTAACTACAGCCCCGAGTCCACTAAGTTCAGCAAGTTAAAAATTTTATGTAGGCTAAAAAGGGATAGTGGGACACAAGTCTGAGGAATGAATACTTGATGATTAAAAATCTATCTCTCCAGGGGCGCCTGGGTGGCTCAGTCAGTTAAGCGTCTGCCTTTGATTCAGGTCATGATCCCAGGGTCCTGGGATCGAGCCCCACATCGGGCTCCCTGCTCAGCGGGAAACCTGCTTCTCCCTCTCCCACTCCCCCAGCTTGTGTTCCCTCTCTCGCTGTGTCTCTGTCAAATAAATAAATAAAATCTTAAAAAAAAAAAATCTCTCTCTCCAAAGATCTTTTTTAAATTTAACTGTAGGCTACTCCTTGAGGTACTGATTTGTAAGTATAGAGCTGAAGGATAATTTTTTAAGATTTTACCAAAATCAACTAATATTTAATTATAAAGCATTCTCAGCTGTGCACTGTGATCTGTTCTCTACTCTTTTGTATTTCAGCTTGTCTGGTTTTTACATCTTGGATTGCTTTTCTGTAAGTCCTTTCAAAACTTGTTATTCAGGGGATACCAGACAGATCTATGTGGGAGCTTCAGCCGCGAAGGTTGGAAGACAGAAATAATAAAGGGCAATGGAATGGAAGATTACTGGTAGTGGCTGGTTGTTACCGGGGGCACAACGAAGCAAAGAGCCAGGCAAATGTAGAAATGTATAGAATATATTTTCCAACATAAAAATAGCTTTATTATTTTCTGGTAACAAAAATGATACATGCTCATTATAAAAATTTCAAATACACAAAAATCACCCAAATACCATAGTCTGGAAAAAGACATCATTTTTGCCAAAGATCTCTATATGAAACACATACTATTTTAAAATATACAGTATTATAAATGGGCCCATATTGAACATATTATTCTATAGCCTGCTTTTTCATTTGCTAATGAAAGGTACAAATTTCCATAGCAATAAACAAGACCTAAATAATTTTTAACGATAGTCATATATGACTCAATGGTATATATGTGCTAGAATTATTTAACCCATTTTCTATTAAAGGATATTTAGGCTGTTTCCAAAGTTTGTTATTGTTGTTGTTTCAAGATTTATTTATTTGAGAGAGAGAGAGAGAAAAAACAAGCAGGAGGGACAGAGGGAGAGAGAGAGAGAATCTCAAGCAGACTCCGCACTGAGCATGGAGCTCGACACAGGGCTTGATCTCACAGCCCTGAGGTCATGACCTGAGCCGAAATCAAGAGTGAGATGCTTGGGGCACCTGGGTGGCTCAGTTGGTTAAGCGACTGCCTTCGGCTCAGGTCATGATCCTGGAGTCCCAGGATCGAGTCCCGCATCGGGCTCCCTGCTCGGCGGGGAGTCTGCTTCTCCCTCTGACCCTCCTCCCTCTCATGCTCTCTGTTTCTCATTGTCTCTCTTGCAAATAAATAAATAAAATCTTAAAAAAAAAAAAAGAGTGAGATGCTTAACCGACTGTGCGACCCAGGCATCTCCGCCAAAGTTTTAAAATCATAAACATCATAAAGTACTTCTTTACCCTCATGTTTACATACTTATGTAATTTTTATTCATTAGGATAAAATCTAAACAAATTGCTGGGTAAAAGTATATCATTTAAATTTTTGATACATATTGCCAAATTTGATACATACTGTCTTCTAGAAAGTTGTACCAATTTTCACTCCTGTCAAGAATGAACAAGAATGCCCCTTTGCTCATATTCTTATAAATTACTTTAATATTTGCCAACCTGGGAGGATATAATTAATGCAAATAAAATAATAAACACATATTTATTACCATTTATATTTTCAAATAGGGGATACCTTTAATTTTTAAGTTACCCCTTTTCAGAGCAGATATTTTCCTGGATTTGAACAGAGAGTCTTCGGTTTGCATCCCCATTCCAATATTGGCGTGACTCTGGACAAGAGTCATTTTTTTAAATATCATTTTTGATGATCTTATTTATAGTAACAGAACCCAGCTCAGTAGGCATTCAAAGCATAAATGATGAATGCATCTACCACACTATTAGACATCGCAATTTTTTTTTTAAAGATTTTATTTATTTGACAGAGAGAGCACAAGCAGAGGGAGACAGAGGGAGAAGCAGGCTCCCCACTGAGCAAGGAGCCCGATGTGGAACTCGATCCCAGGACCCTGGGATCACGACCCAGGCCAAAGGCAGCCGCTTAACCGACTGAGCCACCCAGGAGTCCCTAGACACCTCAATGTTAACTGAATCTCAATCTCCCTCCCACAAGTAAGCTCTTTCTACCTGCTTACCCTCCATTGCAATCAATGTTGCTCTATAGGAAATATTAAAATTAAGGAGTCCATAAAAGACTTTGGAAATATTCCCTTACTATTTATAGAGATAACCACAAAGTTTTCAATGAGACAGATAACATCAAGAAGAAGGCTCTGAAGTGAAGATTTGGTAGGCAATGTAGATCTTTGGAGCAAAAGTGTTTCCCAAGAAAATACTTGCATGTCAAGTTCAATAGACCATCAAGTATATATAAATAATTTGACAGAAAGATGGAAACAAAATATCACAAATATCAGTTTATCCCCTATCAAAATGTTGGTTTACTATTGCTTAGAAATGGTTTGGGAATATTTTCCACCATGAAGCAAATTTATAAGCAATGTACACAATGTCTAATTCCTCTTTCCAAAGGTATCTCAGATATTAATATTTGACATTAATAACTTTTTATCCACAAATAGCAGGATGGAAACATCTAAGCTAATGAGTGCTGGTAGTATGGATAATAGAAAGATTCACTTTGGGTGCAAGGTAGATGACAGTCTTGATACCTTGATATCAAAGATTTGAAGATGTTTTAAAGGACTATTTGGTTCACACACTTTACAAATACTTATTGGGCTGTATTACGTGCCAGGTACCCTGCTAGTTGTTAGACATACAAAAAGGAGCAGGATATAGCCCCTGCCTTCAAGGAAGTTTCAGTTTTGTGGAGAAGAGAGAAGCCAACAATTCTATGATGGGGTGATAGGAAGGCGAGGTAAGTGTAGGTGCTCAGAGTCCTTAAAAGAATCCAGCTGAAGATGCCATCAGTAGCCAGATAAATGTCCCGAAGAAATCCCAGGTCAGTGGAAGAATAGGGTCTGTTATGACTGCTACAAGACACGCCATACCGCCTCATGCACACTAATAGAAAAGCAGCAAGCTACCCTGGAGACATCAGCTGTACAACAGGGTAAGGAGAAACCTCTGCGAATCCCTAGAAAGAGCTGGCGAAGAAGCCAGAGTCTAAGTCCAGATAACACCCTGAGATAGCTCCGTGAGGCTGGTCTCTGAGTGCCACCAGTGAGCACTAGAATCAAGATAAAAATTCTCCCATGGCAGTTTCCTTTCACCCATGCATTCATTTATTCACTCGAACATAAGCTCCATGAGGGCAGGGATCTTTGTTGGGTGTCATCTTCACTGTGTCCCCAGCTCCCAGAACAGTGCCTGACACAAAGGAAGCTGTTGATAAATATTCATTCAGTGAATGAATGGTTGGATCAGCGAATATATTTAACTCACATCTAAGGACTGTAGACATGGGTAACTGTTAACAGAGGAGCAGGATAGTGAAAAAAGGCAGAAGACCTGGCAAGGCTTGTGTGCTTACTGAACACTTGTAGAATCAACGAATGACTTTTCACATCAGAGCTTGAATCTACGGGGGCTTCTTTGTACAGTGTGGAGTACGAGAAAGAGCGTGGGCCTTGAAATCAGACAGATGTGCATTCAAATCCCAACTCTTCCAGATCTGGGAGTACCTCAGGCACATTCCTTAACCTCTCTAAGTCAGTCTTCTCATCCCTAAAATGGGATTTGGACCTTTGGGGTGGCTGCGAAGGATAAAGAGGAAAAAACACGGAAAGCTCTGAGCCCAGCTCCCTTTGCTCTCACCCATCCTTCCGGCCCCAGAGCTGGTGTTGTGCAGAACTCTGGGAGAGTGCTGGGTCCCCAATCCCTGGATGTCCATCCTGCACCCCCTTTTCTATTTCTTCTCCTCCCTCTCTCTCTCCAGCAAACTTCCCCAAAAAGCCTTCCTTCCCCTCTCAAAAGTGCACAGTAACCTCCTCACCCTTTTACTTTCAGTTCCATTGGTTTGGGGTTCAAATAACAGATGTCACCAAACTGTTGAGTGGGCTAGTTGCCTTCTCCTCTTTCCTCTGTATCCTAGGAGCCAATACAGTGCCGGGATTCCAGCAGATGCTTAGTAGATGCTACTCATGGTAACCCCCACTTCCTATACTCACCACACCTCAGGTCATAAAAGCTGTTTTACACAGGCTAACGTACCACCCCATGAAACTACACCATTATGCCGTGAGTTGCAGATCATTATAACAATTCTCAAGAAGTCAATAAAAGTGATAATGCCAGAAATCCCATACCTATTTTCAAAAACAACAAAATATTTTCTCTATGCTTTGGGGCCTTATAAAATGGGACAAAAACCTAACAAGTAAATAGGGTCGGCCTTGGGGCTTGCCCACGGTGCATTATAAGGATGAAAATGAGCGAAATTCTTTACTAATTCATGTTTGCTGATCAAAGGGAACACTTGGAGGCTCATTCTTGGTTTCTTCGTGTACCCGAGTCTCCACCTCATGAAGCCATGGAGGTGTCCTCCCATTGCCCATAGCGGGATGCAAGATTAAATTCCTATCAATTAACACTCATTAACACACCCACCAGAAGGCAAATCAAGGAGGACTGGATCACACAAATTCTTCTCATTTCCAGCCACACTGACATCTGCTTGCCATATCATTGATCAGGTTATTGCCAGCTAATCTGACTTGCTCTATAAGATGTCCAAAGTAGTCATACCCTAGCAAGGTGACCTCATCAAAAAAGATTATTGATTAACAATATTTCTAGGGGCGGCTGGGTGGCTCAGTCGTTAAGCGTCTGCCTTCGGCTCAGGTCATGATCCCAGGGTCCTGAGATCGAGCCTGCTTCTCCCTCTCCCACTCCCCCTGCTTGTGTTCCCTCTCTTGTTGTGTCTGTCAAATAAATAAATAAATAAATAAATAAAAACAATATTTCTAGAGCTCCTACTCCAATTAAGCAAAATCCTAAGTAATAGGGTAAATATAAAAGACTTTTTAAAAACGATTACTCTCTCAAAAAACATACACCTAGATGGCAAGGTAGAATCTACTGATCGATAACCATTGGAGAACACTTTAAAGCAGTGGTTCTCGAAGAGAGGTCTACACAAGCAGCAGTATGAGCAGCAGTGGGAACTTGTCAGAAAGCCAAATTCCTAACCCCAGAACCACTGCATCAGAACCTGGGTGGGGTCCAGCAATTTGTGTTTTTAACAAGACTTCCACATCATTTGGATGCACACTAAAATTTGAGAAACACTGCTTTAAGTCAAATAAGCACATTCAAATCAACATAATTCCAACAGACTACAAATGTGCTGAGCCATGGTTGGGGGCTTGTGTTAATCACAGCTTCCGTTATGACCTCTCATTGAAGGTAGTGGGAGGTCCAGATTCAAAGTGAAAAACAGTTTAACATAAAGTCAATTCTTGATTGTCTTGATTACCTCTTTTGAGTTATTAGTGGCAACTTCACACAATCCCAGGCCAATTTCCCCAATTCAGCCAAAATACTTTCAGACTATATTTCTAAGATAAGCTAAATCAGCTTCATAATGGCTTACTGTATATAAAGCCAAACATCAAAGACTTTCATGCTTCCTTTCATTAACATGTATAATCAAGAGTTTCCAAACTAGGACAGGTCACAAGAATTGAAATCATACAAAGTCTAGTCCAACCCTTTGCCTCTACTAGTTTTGGCACATGGGCAATTTGGGAGCATTGTCAACACATGCCATGAACATATGGGGAAGACCGCAAGGGGCAGTCAGGGCCCCTGAGGACCAGCCTGAGCATGACCTCTCCCAACTGCTTCTGAGCCTTTATGTGGCCTGCCAATCAAACTAAGGCTTTCAACCTCACCATGAGGCCCTTTTTCCCAGAATTATAGCTTCATGTTTCTGACCTTGGTCTGTTAACCTGACCCTGATTCCTGATGACTTCCTTCTTTAATCATCTGTTCTTAAATCTGGACTCCAATCTGACTATGATTAACCCAACCCTACTAATTCACAAAGAAGGAAAGAAAAGGAAGGAAGAAAAGTGCGTGAGCCTATTCCTTTGATGCACAGAGACTAGAGATCTACCCTTTTATTATAAATTTCTAGAGAGGGAAATTCCATTAACCCCATGGAAATGGTTTTCTTGGAATGTTTCCATCCATCATCATAAAGACAGTCCTTATCCCCACTTTATTCAGCAATGTTTACTAGCTGAATTTTTTATTATGTGGGTTCTTAGAGATAATTTAATTCAACTTCACTTGTAAGCAAACAACAGCTCTGTACAGGCTAACATGCTAGGCCTTGAAGAGATGGCCCCTACATACTCAGAGTCTGATAGAGTAATGTCTCCTCCCCCCGCCACCCCCCCCCCCCGCACCACCCCTACCCCCTACTCCCCCACCTCCTTGCAAGATATTCATGTCCTGATCACAGAAACTTGTGAATTACTTTACAGGAGAAAAGAGACATTGCAGATGTGATTAAGTTAAGGGTCTTGAGATGCAGAGATTTCCATGGATTATCTGAGTTGCCCCAATGCAATCACAAGGATCCTTACTAGAGGCAGGAGGGCCAAAGTAAGAGAAAGAGGTGATGAAGAAAAGGTCAAAGAGAAAAAGAAAGAGAAATCTAGATTCAAAGATGCCACATTGCTGGATTTGAGGATGGAGGAAGAGGCCACAAGGCAAAGAATGCAGGTAGTCTCTAGAAGCTAGAAAAGGCAAGGGAATGAATTCTCCCCTAGAGCCTCCAGAAAGAATGCCAAGGACTTCTGACCTCCAGAATTGTAAAATAATTAACATATATATATATATATATATATATTTTTTTTTTTTTTTTTTTTTTTTAAAGTAATCTCTATACCCAACGTGGGGCTTGAACTCACGACCCTGAGATCAGGAGCGGATGCTCTACCGAATGAGCCAGTCAGGCACCCCAACTTATATTGTTTTAACCCACTAAGCTTGTCATAATTTATTATAGCAACAGTAGGACATTAATACAGGTAGTTTACAACCTAGTAAGAGAGAGAAGATGACATAGATAACTTCGGTACATTTCAGGAAGTGACAAGTATACAACAGAAACACAAGAACAATGCTATGGAAATGCTGCTGAGCAAGTACTTCTGGCTGGGGGAAGCTTCCTGGAAGACGCAGTTCTGCTGGGCCTTGACGGGCTGGGTAGGATTTCAACAGGGGGAGACCCAGTAAACAGGAGGAGTAAAGGCACAGAGTCGGCAGGTATAGGATCAAACAAAGAGCTGACATAGGCCCTTGTGACCAGCCATTTTCTCAGAAACAAAATTTACTTGATTAAAATTTCATAAATTCTACTCAGGATTATGAATGTCAAATTCATTCCTGAGTTTGTAAAAAAAATTGTAATAATAGCTAACAACTATATGATATGTGATAAACTATCCTAACAGTTTAAATACAGAAATCCAGATCTTGGGCAAGAATCCCCTCTCTGCAGAGAACGTGTCACAGTCAAGAGTGAATCTGGCTCATCTTCAGGCAGGCAGGCTTGACAGGGATGTGCAGAAAAAATACTAAGTGTTAATTAAAATAAACAAAAAGGTAATTCTTGAAAAAGGCATCTGTTAACATTTACAAATTAGACAGTTCCTATGACCTTCGTGAGCAAGCTAAACAGAACAATGGGATTTAACTGAACTGAACCTACTTAGCAGACTGGAGGCTCTGAGGGCTCATGCTGCTGATGATGAAGAAGACAGGAGAATCCAGTCCCTTTTTTGGTAGGTTTTGTTTGTCTGAGGTCAGAGCTCATGATCTTCAGTAATTTTGACCGGCTCTAATTTAGCCAAAGTGTAAGCCTAGGAATTGGGAAGGAAGGAATAGCATTGTCCAGATTATTGATCTGCATCCCCCAAACTCACCATTGATAGTCCTCATAGCATGACTTACGGTGACAATGTTTTCCCAAGATGGTACCTGTACTCAGGTGCCTTGGCAATACTTGCTTTCTTCTTTATCTTCTGGTGAAATCGATTCCCTTTTGTGCGGTTCACATTCGTTCCAGGAGAATTCGCAGGAACAGCTGGTCTCCACTGGCCTGCTCCTGTAAGAATGGCCTGGAGCTTCTGCAGAAGGGTCCATAAATGCACCATAGGCCCTTGGGTCCTGGGATAGAGCTGAATGCTTTGGAGGCCAATTTTCTTGACAAGAAGAACTGGGCCTGTTGCAGGCATCCTCGTTTCTCTCACTGCCTGTCTTTCTGTCAAAGCCCAGAAACGTAACCTCAGACTGGCTACATTCAAATGGAACTTTCTGAGTCACTCCATCTTTTCTCGAACCTTTATCATGAGGTGGTGAACGATTATTCTGGTTTTCATCATCTTCCACTGGAATACTTGGTACGTTCTCCAAGAACAGAGGAGAAGGACACCTGAAGGACTTTAGAGAGGTGGGAGGATCCTCAGCAAAATATAACCTGGCTTGAGTACTTTCAAGAGTGGTTAGGACCTAGTTAACCAAGAAGCAAAGAAACATTTGCATTAAGCTTCCATAACCTCTCCTTTCACCTTTTTTCTATCTACCTATTAAGGAATATTCTCTTATTTTCATGAAATAACTTCAACTATAGAGTTCTGAATGGGAAGGTATTATTAAAGATTAGCTAAACCCTTTCAGTTTCATGAGTAAATTAAAAGACTTGAAGCCAAGTATAAAAGAAACTGCACTAAAGTAAATATCAAGAGACCTGAGTTGAGGCTTAGATTTGCCACCAACTACTGTGTGACCTGGGGTGAGTCTCTGTACATTTTTTACTTCAACCTTAATATGCGGAGTACTAGAAAGGGTCAGGGTACAGGGGACCCAATCTGTAGTTCTCAAATGTCAGAATTACCTACAGGAGCCTTCTTAAAATACAGATTCCCTTGGCCCCAACCTATAGATCATCACCGACAAAATATGAAGATAGGGGCCCAGGAATCTATATTTAAAAAGCTTCTCACTTGATTTGGATGTGCAGCCCAAAGTGAGAACTTTTGACCAGATTTAAAAGAACATGTAACATCCCTTCACACACACATGCAATTTTTAAAAATACATTTAGAGAGCTTTACTATTTACAAAGTGCTTTCACACACATTATCTCATTTAATCTGCACAAACACTATTATTCCCATGTTACAGATAATAAAGCTGAGGCTCAGATAAAGGGAATAAATATCAAGAGCCAGTAAGGAGCAGATGTGTTGCTTGACCTCAGATCTGGCTCCCAGTTCCATGTTTCTTCCACTATGTATCTCAAAGCTCTTTTTGGCCCCAAGATTCCAGGTCACATAGCTCTTACTGGTGGTGCCACGCCTAAAATATAGCTCTCCTGACTCCCAGGCCAGTGCTCCTTACATTCTGATTATGCTGACCTCTTGTTTAAAACCCTTTTGTGGCTCTACAATAGACTCAGGATAAAACCCCAAATCCCAGAATGGAATTCATGTCCCTCTATCACCTGGAACCTTCGATTATTTTAAGCACTCCAGCTTTTCCCTCACCATATTCCACTTCCATGAACTGCCTGCTGTATTAGTGTCATAAAATTATCACCTCTGAGGTTTGCAGGTATAGATTCTCTCGACTAAAATGTCCTCTATCCTTACTGCTGCCTAAATTCACCCTGTTCTTTAGAATATAGCTCAGCCATCACCTCCATCGAGCAGCTTCCTTGACTTGGCTGGTATGTGTTCTGACTCTACGTTCCCATTTGACCTGGGCTTCCACCTATCATTATGCTTATCTCTCCGTACTGAAATGCCACGTTACCTACTCTGACTCTCACTTTGGACTGTGAGTTTGAGGGCAGCAACTATATCTTGATTACTGGTGTACCCTCAGCACCAGGACCAAGTCTGGCACATGCAAAGTAAGCACTAGCTAAGTATCTGTTGAACAAATAAGCAAATCAATGCATGGATGATTAAATTGATGAGTAAATTTAAAAAATCAATAGAAGAAATATGTAATGCATTTTTAATAGACCAGATCTCTAAATGAGTATTGAATAAATTCTCTCCAAACTACTCACTTAAGTCTTTTCATTAAAATTACTCATTTAAGTCCCACCCAACAATGACCTCTCTACCAGAGTACCAAATAATGTGACTTGTGACTTGGAAAAACTATGAGGTTAGAATTCTGTGTTAGGGGCTGGATTTGCCTCATTGATAAAGAATTCACTCAGACATAATTTATCCAATTTTGATTTTCCATGGTTCTGTGGGCTTGGTTTTGAATAAAACCATGTGTACACACCTCATCCATTGATGGTCTTAACTTTGCCCGCGTGGTAGCACACTGGCCTGCCAATGAGAAGAGCTTGGCAGAGAAATTCCGAGGACAGGGATGCACTTTCTTATCTAGAAATGAAAGACATGAATCGAGGCCTCTCTTCTCCATCAATTCCATAAGGAGATCCCTCTAGGAAGAGAAGAAGACAACTTCATCTTTCAGAACTCTACCCCAAAAATGACCGAGAGATAGGAACAGAGATGAAGACAATTCTCACCAGCTGGATATGCTTTGGATCATCTAACACCACTTTACAACCTGTCAGAACTTCCATTATTACCTATAGGGAATATATAGAAAGTCAGCTACATATGTTAAATATATACATAGAATTAGTTGCAGCGATGAACCTTGACAATAGGTAACGTTCGTTCTAATTAATGACTATATTTTACTATTTGACTGATTACATAAAATGAATGTATAAGACAATGAGTAACAGGAAATCAATAGGTCTAAAAGCGAAAGCCCTTAAAAAAATTCTTAGAATTTAGAGCATTCCTGGTGGTAAGCTTTCCTCCTTTGTTGACTGGTACTTGGTACTCACAATTCCAAAGCTGTAGACGTCCGTTTTAATGGAAAGTTTGCCCTGTCTGATGTACTCTTCGGGCATATACCACAGATGTTTACTGCTGCTGCTGGTCATGCTTATGGTAGAGCTCTGATGCTCCAGGTGGGGTCGGAAGTGTGCCATGCCAAAATCAGTTAGTTTGGGGTGGAACTGATCATCCAAGAGTATGTTTGCACTAAAATTGTAATCAAGGACAAACAAGACAAAAACATAAAGGCATTCCGGTGGAAAACAAAATGACAAACTCACCTTCATATCTGGTTAATTCCAAACGCTGACAACACAAAGCCATACGTAATTTCCCATGAATTAGAGGGCATCTTCTCATATTTCTTAAAGTATAAATACAAGTATTATATAAAACTCTAAAATGAAAACCTGGGGCGCCTGAGTGGCTCAATCAGTTGAGTGACCGACTCTTGAGTTCGGCTCAGATGGTGATCTCAGGGTCCTGGGATCAAGCGCTGTCGGGCTCCGTGCTCAGCAGGGAGTCTGCTTGGGATTCTCTCTCTCCCTCCGCCCCTCCCCCCATTCATGCGCATGCTGTCTCTCGCACTCTCACTTTCAAATAAATAACTCTCTAAAAAAATAAAATGAAAACCTGACCTAAGAACAGTGGGCTTTTCAAATTTATAGATACATGTAGGGAGTTGGTGGATAAAGCTGATCCTTTGCCAATAGGAGAAACTAAAGTTAAGCAAAGTAGCTTTCCTTGTGCTCTTCTGATACATAATGAGAACATGAAGTGGGTTTTAATCAGCTAATAATCAAATACCTGTTACGTGCCCAGAGCTGTGCTGTGGAATGTCCAGCCTATCAGCAGAGAGCCACTAACCTGCAATGAGGTGAGGAAACTTTGGTAGCTCTGCCTTAAGGATAAACCTAGTCCACTGTCCCATCTGTATGGACTTTCTATGGAGTAAAGGCAAAAATGTCTTTGGGACTTATTTAAAATATAAATATCTGCAGAGGTAAAGGCTAAGTGCCTAAAGTCACTACCTGTCACATTAAAAGCCTTAATAATCACTTAACATCTTGGCTGACAGGTAAGCATCAGCTTACTTTTACCTTCAAAGGGCTGCCACAGCAGGGATGCGAAAGGCTAAGCCCATGCATTTCACACGGCCCCCACTGGAGTGAGTCCCGGCTCTGTCTTACCCTGGCTCCGTGACCGCAGGTGGCTAACTTCACCCCATACGCCTCAGTGTCATTTTCCTCACAAGTGAAATGAGGCAAACAACAGAACTCACAGAACTGAACACAAATAGCCTTCTACCCGGCATACAATAATGCCCAATAAATGGTAGGGAAGATGAAAATCAGTAACGAATCATAAGAGAGCAGATGGATATTGACAAAACAGGTGGGTGGACCAAGAGAAAGTAATCTGTTTCTCACTTCTGCTTGGGGGCTCTTCAGAGCTTACTTTTTGTTCCCTGAAACCAAAGCTTCTAATACTAGGCCTGCCCATCCAAAACGCAAGTGGTATATTTGCAGTGCTACACGTTGTTATTAAAAGTGGTAACAGCGGGGCGCCTGGGTTGCACAGTCAGCGAAGCGTCTGACTCTTGATTGCAGCTCAAGTTGTGGCCTCAAGGTCATGGGATCGTGCCCCTCGATGGGCTCCGTGTTCAGTGCAGAGTCTGCTTGAGATTCTCTCTCCCTCTCCCTCTGCCCCTCCTGCTCATCTCTCTCTCGGTCTCTCTAAAATAAATCAATCAATCTTAAAAAAAAAAAAAGTGGTAATAGCTATGGGATAAGGACAAGAAATTCTTAATCCTGAACAAATACTGGTTCTTACAAAAGTTCCAGAAGTCCCTTGCTCACCTTGTACAGGTAGGCTGACAGGCAGAACCTAGTTTCAGAGGTCTGAATTGCAGGTGTCCTAATAATCCAGAGTACTCAGAGTCCTACTTCTGTCTTGAGGATTCAAAGCTGAGACCTTTAAGAATTCTAGCCCGGGGTTGCCTAGGTGGCTTAGTCGGTTGGGCGTCTGCCCTCTGCTCAGGTCATGGTTTCCAGGTCCTGGGATTGAGTCCCATGTCAGGTTCTCTGCTCAGTGGGGAGTCTGCTTCTCTCTCTCTCTCTCTCCCTCTGGCCCTCCCCACTGCTCGTTCTCTCTCTCTCTCTCTCTCTCTCAGAGAGAAATCTTTAAATCTTTAAAAAAAAGAAAAAAAGAAGAAGAAGAAGAAAAAAGAATTCTAGCCCGGAGTTTGTCTAGAACCGAGTTAACAACAGACAGCATGAAGACATTTCTCAGGACCCTTTAAGGATCCAGAACACATTCTAAACTTGATGTCACTCTCTGTCTTTGTTTTTTTTTTTAAAGATTTTATTTATTTATTTGACAGAGAGAGACACAGTGAGAGAGAGAACACAGCAGGGGGAGTGGGAGAGGGAGAAGCAGGCTTCCCGCCTAGCAGGGAGCCTGATGCGGGGCTCAAACCCAGGACCCTGGGATCATGACCTGAGCTGAAGGCAGACGCTTAACGACTGAGCCACCCAGGCGCCCCTCACTCTCTGTCTTTAAGGGTGGCAGGAGAATTGCAAAATCCAAAGAGCCCACCTCATGTATCAGTCCCAAGGCTCTTACCTGTTGTGTGATCCTTGCATTTATGAGAACCTCAGAGAGGGCCCAGCCCTCCAGACTTGTATCAATAATCGCAGTCCTCATTTTTCTCCTGGCCTTGTCTTTTCTCCGTATATTCCAGACCTGGCAGCTCCTAAGGCCAGCCTAGGTCCCGCACATCTAGGGCACTCATCATCCATCTCATTTGGAAAACAGCGTTGACTATCCTGACAAACCTCTGAAGATGTGGAGTCCACTAGAGCCGGATCCTACCTTCTCTCCAGCTCCAAATAAGAACTGGCATTTTAGTTCAAAATTACTTCTTCCATAGGTATGTGTACACCTGAAGGGCTCCGGTCAAGGAGGAGCCTTCTGGAGATCCCAGGATCATTTCGGAGTGCCGGGGTATTTAATGCAGGAGTTTGCCACGTGTGCGGGGAGGTGAGATGGGTAGAGAGTTTCATTAACTCCCCTTAGCAGGACCCCACCTTCTGCCCCTCTGGCTTCTGCCGCACTGACAGCCTAGCTCTCTTCTGCACACACCCCCTCCCCCTGCACGCACACACTGGATTTCAGCATAGAGGGACAGAAAGACTCTGAATGCCAGAGTCTCAGTGTCAAACATCTTGCCCTCTTCTTCCTCAACTCCAGCTCTAAAGAACGTATAAAATCATAACGTAAAATGCTAGACCCATGAGGATGCAAAAGCCGAATTTGTAAAACACTTAGAATTCCTGAAGAATAGGTCTTTTCTAAGCACAAAAGAAAAAAAAAAGCCTCAAAACCAAAATCATTATCTAATCCCTTTATTTGCCCCTCAGCAAAGCTAGTGGGAAGCTTTCAGCAACTTGACTCATGCTCTTGACACACTTAGGCAGAGCGGGTAACCACAATGTGTGATACAGTAACACGCACAGAGGGCTTCGGGCCAGTGAGGGGCTGGCAGTCAGAATGTGAGATCGCTCTAGGGAGCTGCATTTACACTTTTAATGGTGATATTTGGTGAAAAGACCAGCAGACTTTTTAGTGCATTAACACGAATTTTGAGTGCAGTGATTTACTCCGTTCTAAAGAAAAGTCAACAGGAGCTGAGGAAGAAGAATGTTCTGTTTTAAGAAAGTAGGAACTGCAAAACCCCTTCAACAATGAGGTCTACCCTAACTCTTTCCCTTACTGCAGCCTTAAATAGAACATTCATGCCGTGCCTTCAACTATCACGCAGGTCAATGGAATATGTTTATCCTATGGGGCTAAGAACAGATTAATGAAATAAAGACAATATAAACTAACTGCAATCACGTAACAGTATAATTGAACAAAAGGGGCGGCTTGCTAGCTATCATGCTTACCAAAGAGATAGACAAGACACATGTAATGGCCCATTCAATTCAATTTAGTGTCTCCACAACCTATTTCTGCTATTCTTTCCCACAATGCTCCTTACTGTAACACAGACCATCGCCTCTCTAGATGATTCTTCTAGTGCAGGATCAGTGGTGGTAAACGGAGGAGAAGGGGCAAATCCTACACAAGGTGGTCAGTTTGTGTCCTGACTCTGGGGAGTAACATACTTCATCTTTCTATTGCCGGGGGTCTCCACGACAATTCTTTTTGAGGAACTTGAACCTCCCAAAGGCTACAATAATTGCTTTCTTTGCACGTCAGTTTTTCTCCTGATTTAGTCGAAGCCCTTGGGCCTAAAATATAAATACAAAGCATGATGATGCATCTAGATTATAATGCAGGATTTGAATGGAAGTGCAAATACACACTTGACATGTAAGCACATGACTGGTTTTTAAAAAGACATATTTGTAAAGGATTTGAGGGGGGAGTTATTGGTACAAAGTAGCCCAGTCCCTGAGTGCCTGGCAATTCTCCAGAAAAGTCTGGACTCCAACAAATTGGTCCCAGAGATAAAGAGGATCCACCGGCCTCTTGGTGACAGCCTGAGGCAACAGGACATCTTGCTGTTACAACACCGAGACACCCCTCACCAGATGAGGCAAGAGCCAACTTCTCAGGGAAGCTACAGGTTACTGGAAAAGGGCATACACACCCCCTCCCCCCCACTTCAGCATGCCCAGCATCTGATGCAGCTGAAGCCCTTTCTTCCCCCTTTGATTGTACGACCTTCTCTTTCTTTTCCATTGAACCCAGGCAGGACTCAGAGACAGTATTAAAGGTTGTTACTGCTTTATTGATGATTTATGAGTCCTAAACTCTCTGTGTAAAGGCCCAGCCAATTAGGCATATTCCTGCGTTAAATGTGAAATTTTGCCTCTAACCAAACTAGCGCAACTTCCCTAAAGCTGAGTTTCCTCATGGGTAAAAAGATCGGAGGAGGCTTACCTCTCAGGGTTGTTACAAGGATTAAATGAGAAAATGTATTCAGAGTGCCTGCTACACAGGGAGGGCCCTGAAATATACTCTGAAGGATGTAGGCTGGCCTCTGTCCATCCTACATCCACCTTAAAATCCCAAGAAACTTGGTTGGGGATCTCTAGAAGTTCAAGGCACCAGTCTGAAATAACAAAGGTACAGGGGGTTGCACAATGACCCTGGAGATATGGGGATCCTTGGGTTAATTAGTTTCAGGGTGTCTG